TGCTCCCCTCACCTTAGAGGGTTACCTTTGAGCACACCACTTCCAGACTGAGCGTCTGAGTTCCTCTCCTATTTTGAGAGTTGGGCCTCTACTCTATAGAGCTCTGGTGGGCAGTCATGCCAGGTTGTTGGGCCACCTTCTGCCCCCCTGATATGCTGCTCTTATGATTAAGCTTGTAGTGCTCCCCTCACGCTAGAGGATTATCTATGAGCACGCTGCAAATCGAGCGTTTGTGTCCCTTTCTTGAGAGCTGGGTGCTATGCTCCTTCAAGTTATGTATGAGCATAATGCTCCGGAGCCTGTCCTGTGACTATTATGGTTGAGTTGGCGATGCTCCCCTCATATGGAGGGTTTCTTTTCCTATGAGGTACGCCATTTTAAATCCACATGCGCTCTGAGCATGCGGACTCCCGCTGAATTAAGTAATTGCTCCCTGAGCATGCTACAGTCACATAGGGTTTCTAGGCCTGTCTAAGAAACAGCCTCAGTGACCCCTTAGTAACGGTGTTTCTAGAATTCATGTTGTGGTAAGTGTGCATGCTAAACATTCTGCGCACTTTTCTAAAATCCTGTATGGTATGGGTTACGCGCTGCCAGCATCGTTCCCTTTCTCTGAGTTGGCTCAGGCCCCGGTTTTCACCTTGGGCCCCACTCTACTTGTATATCCTTGGTGATACCTTCCTGAGCAGGGTGTTTGCTACCAAGGACCTGTCGAGTCAGTTCCTTTGGGCAAGCTCATGCAGAGCTGGCAGTAGCCCCCTGGGTGACAGGCCAGGGTCTATTTATTGTCCTAGATGCTTGGCCGTATCCCCTTAAAGGAATCTCTTTTGTTTCTGATTCCAAGCCTTCGAGCTCTGCCCTGGGTTCAGGCTTTCCAGCCCAGCCCTTAACAGGTAAGTTTTTTGGGGTATGCAGCTCAGGCCTTTGGCCGAAGGGGATAATGTCACTGACAGCCATCAAGGCATCCATGGGGCAACTCCCATAGCTTTGGTAGAGTTGGTACATAGTGCTCGCCTTGGTGCTTGGCATGCACTTCCCTCAGCCTGGCAATGTGGGTATACCGTTCCCCATAGCAACCTCTAAAGGGCACTTCTCATATTTTTTTTTTTTCTTAACAAAACGTTAAATATATTATGGGTGTGCGATATTGTCAAAATATATCTCTCAATATTTTCTGGGATTTTATCGATAATGATAATTAGACGATATTTTGCTGAGTGTATTATTGTGCTTATATCTGAAGGTCTACCGTGGACAGCTGACTCCTAAAGTTTTTGATATTCTTCATATTCTGTGTGGTGATCAGTTCACAGCAGTGATAGAAATTAATCTTTTCCAATAAGGTTAAATATATGGGCATTTTTACGTTTTATAAAACCATTTTGTCTAAAAGTGTGCATCATCTTTTCAGTCAAATTCTTAAATTGAATCAGTCAATTAGAATAATAAGTTATTTAGGTTGTTACCAAGCAAATTAAATCAGTATTGACAAAGTTTATCTTTGCAATGCAGAGAAAACACAGAAGCTGCGTTAGAAGTGGCATTTAGATGCATTTAAACACTGTTTAATGCAGGACATGAATTCATTTAACCTGCAGTTACAAATGCATAAAACGTTGAATACTTATATTTGAAATTATAAGGGAAAAAAAAGAAAAGATACTTTAAATGTGAAATTAAAACTGTCAGTAGGTGGCAGCAAGTCACTGTTAATAAGTGAGTCATTGCGACCAAATCATTTAAACGGTTGATTCATTCAACAAAACAGCGTCATGTTGCTCAGAGACGCAAATTGGAATTATATTTGTTGGCGAAATAGAAAAAAAACTGTAAATATTGTGTCTAAAACGTAAGTGTCTTAATATTAAATTGTTGTTTATTGAACTGCTTGTATAAAATCAATGTCACATTTGTAATCATGCTGCTTTTTGGTGGAAAAAAACGTCAGTCTTCGCATGATACTGATTAACTATATGAAATTATATAAATACATACATTTCTGCCCACATATCTTGAATTTTGTGATCATTCTAAATGGATTTTAATAAACTGAATCATGCAGTGAAAAAATGCGCACTGGTCTAACCTACTAGACTTTATTGCCTTCGCTAAACTTTTACATGGTAGCTCTCTCATGATTCATGGATGTTAGCAAGACAAATAACTATAATTGCATTTTGGATAATTAGCTGTAAACTCGAGGCACAGGTAGCTTAGACTTTTGTTCATCACCACTCACCTCCACACCAAGACAAACACAACTGGAAAGGGAGGCAAGGCTTCACCTCTGCGACTCTCTGCATGTCTGTGGTGCATGTGCCGATCAGTGCTACACTGCTGTGCTGCGGAGACGCAGAGGGAGAAAGGCTTCGGAACTCGACTGAGTCTGGTCTCAACATTTCCTGACCCGACCTGACATTTTGATTTTTTATTTGTTTGACAGGGAAAGCTGTGCGCAAACAGAAACACACACACGCGCACATATATACATATATTCATTTATTCATTTATTAAAAAAAAAAAACAGAAAAAAGGGCACTTTCTCTCGAGGATTCACAATGAAGGTTAACAACAGCCTTTACGGCCAGGCACGTGCACACATAGACCTCAAGCGCGAGGCCCGGTGCGACCTCACCAGTCGCACCACCCTAAGGATGGCCCTGAAAACACCTAAACTGTATGTATGTATACATGCTGTATGTAATTTTTTTTTGACTGTACCAAAGCATATAAACACCATAATACAGACGCAGATATTTAGGAAACATACTTCACACATAGTTCACATACTTGTTTCTCCAAAAAACAACACTAAAGCCATTTATTCTGCTTTGAAAATGTGCATTCCGTGTCAGAATGTCTGTTTTTGTTTTGGTCTGTGTGATTCTGCCCACGGCCAGTTTAACCAATAGTATTTCGACACCCCGGGTTGCCAGAGAGCAGAAAATAGTGTATCACAGCCATGGAAGCAAGCAAACAAATTGGGTCAGAGATCACATATTCTACCTGACCTAAAAAGCCTCGGCATCCATCTAAAAAACTCTATGACCAAAGGCATAATAAAACAAGGATAAATCAACTAATCAACTTAAAGTGTAAGGCTCGTCGACTTCCATTGTCAATTGCGCTCATTCCCATTGTGTGTCCTCAATCTGACAACTCGCTGAAGCATCCCATCTGAGGAGGAGGGGTTGGGAGAAACAATATTTTGAATTTGGACTGCAGTACCCATTTCAACCGCTAGCTGTCAATATTACATACGGCACCTTTAATGGGTACACTTACCATAACCTTTTACAAAGTTAGCAAGTGTATGATGCCCACAAAATTTGTCATATAAACATTTTCACTCAATTGCTAGTAAATTTCATAATTACTTACAAAGAAACTGCAAGTACCAAACTGAATTAAAGATTGATATATA